TATAGGACCAGATTGTAAAGGACCATGATGCTACACTAAGGATTGAGAACTTCAAAATCTCTTCACCATACATTCTCCCAGAAGCATCTTTTCACATTAAGATAATTTTGACCCAAAATAAAGTTAAGTATCAAAAAAGGTCTTTTCACCAAAAATTTAATAAAAATAAAAATAAAATGCTTTCATGGCTGCTCAAGAAACAAAGAACTATCAAATTCAGGTTTATATTTTGAATAATTATTTTGAAGAAGTGTTCCATGGTGTAATGGTTAACACTCTGGACTCAAAAAAATGGTTTTGGCTTCAAGAACTGGTAAAAGAATTATTTTCTAACACTATGATTCCCCCACACCTTCAAGCTGGGGATAAAACTCATGCTTACACATGCTATGCAACCATTCTACCATTAAGCTACACTTTCAGGTCCCATTAGGATTTTATAACAAATTTTTACCATTATAGCATCTTCAAGTTTAATATCTGTTGATTGTGTTAAAAGACAAAATTAAAACAAATCTAGTTTTGCAGACATTAACAAGCTTTATTTGTGCAATAGTCTGGACCAAAAATGGGTTCAGAATGTTCTACCCACCACAGAGGCAGATTACATTTAGCCAAAGAAAACGAAGTAACATACAGAAACAGAAGTGAGATGCTGAGGAGCCTGATTGGTTACAGCTGTCTTATTTGAACATGGTTGGAACAGTAGGAAGCTTGTGATTGGCTGAGACTCAGCTATTTGTTACAAGTTTAGGTTACAATTTGTTTATACATCTAGTTAGGTTACAATGCACTATGTACTGAGAAACTTTTAGGGCAAACTTAATTCAACTTAACAATTAAAGTTACATATAATTACCAAAAATACTTCTAGGAATTTAGTAACATTTTCAAATAAATGTTTTTGCCACTCCATCTACATTTGAAAAGCTATACTACATATTTGTGACAACTTCATTTAGCCTACAGACAATGAATGCTAATCTGCACTGAGCATTCCTGTACACCTCGAAAACTCTTTTACACCAGAGTCTGGCAACCACCATTAGAAAGGATGCAGTTCATGGAGAAAGAGAGAAACCATTTACAAGGATTCTAGGGGACCCAAAAAATACAATGCTTTAAAACCTAAGAATTCATTCACTACATTCCTTAAATTCTTTAGCACCAAAGGCAAACAAAACAAGTCAAAAGAGAATGATCTGCACATCCCTGAAGGTTATAAATTGGGGCAGATGGGGAACCAGACCAATTGGAAGTAAACAGAATTAGGACTCATATTTTGGTACCAGACTTGACAATGAGCTCAGCTTGGCATCTCTTAGGTCCTTTACAGGATGACAGTGATACTGAAACAGTGAAACCCAGAGATAACAAGAAGGACAGGTGAGCAGGAAGGAGGTGAATTAAGCTAGCCTGTTCTGCTCCAGTCGTAAAAATGACTATTGTGTTTAAACTCCAACCTGGATAGCAACATTAACTTACAGACTAGAAACTGGTGATCAACCATACCCAGTTTGGTTTTTTGTTTTGTTTTGTTTTACACAATGCCTATATTTTATTTATTTATTTACCCTATGTGGTGCTGAGAATTGAACCCAGTGCCTCACACATGCTAGACAAGTGCTCTACCACTGAGCCACAACCCCAGCCCCCTATCCAGTTTTTAATCTCATCAGTATTTTGTCTGTTTACTATAAGACTTTTCAATGTCTCAAAACAAAGAGACAAAGGCAAGTATTAGGTAGAGAAGATTAAAAGGTGCTGCAGACAAGAACTAAAATTAGAAGAGTCCAGGCTGTATTTTCTACCACTTCATCACCCACTCTTGACCTTGCTAAAATCAAGCTTCCCCTTGGCCTTTCCCCTCAAACCATTACATAACTTGGTTTTAAACCAATGTTTAATCATAAACCAGCCCTGCTACATTATTAATATTCCAAACATCATTTCCAACCAGATAATAATCCAGTATCATTATGCTGAGTTATCATAAAAGGCAGCATTCCTGCATTTGTTCTGGCTGCAAAATTAGCCCCTGAGCAGCCATACAATTTTGTGTATGTGTGTGTTGTGTGTTGTGTGTATATGCTTATGTATGAATATATATATATATATATATATATATATATATATATATATATATATATATATATATATATATATATTTTCCCTATCTCCAAGAAATTAATTTTAAGAACTTTAACTCATTACAAAAAGCACATACTAGCTCTTTAAGATGACAGGTGGAAGGCAGAGTGTAGAGGCCCATGCCTGTAAACCCAGCTACTCAGGAGGCTGAAGCAAGAGGATCTCAATTTCAAGGCCAGACTGGAAAACATATACTATATAAAATAATATACATTTTATTGTTATATAATTTAAAAAGGGCTGGGGATGTATGTAGCTCAGGGGTAGAATACTTGCCCAGTATGTGGAGGTCCTGGGTTCAATCTCCAGCAATAAATAATAATAATAATAGTAAAATAAATAAAATCAGAGTAGAAAAATGGAAGTGGTAAGGACATAATGACATGGAATCTGGTCATCATGCAAAGTTTTACAAAGTTATTGGAATCTCTTGACCTTGGGATATTTAAAACTGTAGTTGAAAATAAAGGCAGTAGATATTATATGTAGCACACATAGTATATATTATGTGTGTGTGTGTGTGTGTGTACATACACACATGCATGTGAATGACCCTCTTATGCTGCAGTATATGCAGAGGAAAGTGACAGGGTAAAATGGAGCAAGAGCCTTTGCAATCAGGAGAAAGATTCACTCTATAATCTTCCTCACTTGCCAAAATACTTTAAAAAATACTTTGGAATCAACATTTCATCTTCAAATTAGGGGTTCTGAAAATTAATAGGTTGTAGCAATGAGAAAGTTATTCATTCTGCCTTTTTTGGCAAGAACAATATTTTAAAATATGTGCTTTGGTTGTAAAGACATAGCTAACAAGAGAAAGAAATGTGGGCACAAACTGGAGAAATAAAATAACCCTCACAGTTGGCCCACTGCTGTCACTTCAAGTGCCCAAGAAGATTCTCAAGAAATATGTGAATATGTAAATTATTCACGTACCTTCAATAATCCTTCTGCAGTTGTTCAAGTAGCATGAGAAAATAATCACTTAATTTCATTAATTATACCACAAAGATGTGGCAATACCTTTAGAAAGACTCAGCCTTCTTCTAATATAGAGCCAAACACAATACAGAGTTACGAAATCATTGCTGATAAATACCTTTGTGTAGGATACAAAAGATGGGAGTGGAAAGATGAGCACATTTCCAAGCTCAATGATTATCTTGAATCACACTATGCTTTCCAGGGGTTTAATGTAAACAAATTTCTCACAGAAACCCTACACATTAGGAGCAAGCAAGGACAAACAAGGAATTCTCAGTTTTCTAAAACCTAAATACTAAAAAGAAAAGGGTATGAAATGATCCACATTCACAGATTTCCTAAAGCAGACCAAACTCCACACAGAATGTCCCCATATTTCTTCCCTTCATCCTCCTTCTATCCTCAACATTCAAATAGAAAATGCTGAGTTTAATTTGTTTCCTAAAATTATGTGGAACAAACACCACTGATGGAAAATTACAGTTGGATGACTTGACTTTTCAAAGTTTATGAATGAGGGAAGTTACTTAACTACATTGCTGGAATTTTTCCACTCTCATTTCAATTCAAAGTCGCAGTGTTTATTCTTCTGTCAACATCCAGTGCCCTCCCCTCACACCTAAGTCACCTTCAGACCAGTTCAAGGTTTCAATCCAAAAAGTTACCAAAAGCTGATTTCTTAGACCTAGCCATTGTCTTAGTGGACAATGCTACTCACGTTTCACATTCCTTTAGTTAGTGTCAGAAATGTGACATTTAAAGTTTATTCTTTCCATTTTTCCTACATATGTGTGTTTCTTTAAGGGAAGATTTTATTTAAAAATACTATTTACTCCGGTATCCTTGAATATATTGTTTTTCTCATGAAATAATCTTTAAATTGAAATGTAATTTTAAATACCTTGAATAAACGGGCACGTGGTATCAATATCTCCAAAATGACTGCAAAATGCAGCAATTTTCTAACAAGTGCTTGTACCTGATGGACTTGGCTTGAAAGACTTCTTTTCTTTTGTCCCATTTTAAAAGTCAAATTGGGGTTGGGGGTGTAGTTCTGTGGTGAAGCGCAGATGAGTACGGCCCTGGGTTCCATCCCCAGGACCCCCCAAAATCAAACACTTTCATCCAGGAGAATAAGAGCTAAGAGTCGCGGTCACTTCTACAGATACACGTGGCCTGGAGATGATCTCCTTTTCAGCAAGAAAGAATGGAACAGAAAATCCTGTCTACTTGTCTGAGAGGCGCAGCTGGAAAAGCAACATCCCTTCAGTGAATGACCTCACTATATCTTGGGACCTCAGAATATCATCCCCGCGGAAAATACTACGTGCCCCAACTGCACTCCAGGGCTGGATTCTGCCCAGAGAAAGTATCCCTCCAGGTGAGCTTTTTCTCCTCCACTTGCCCTTCCTACACACACACACACACACACACACACACACACTACACTGGCTGTCCAGGTATGTGTCGCGCATCCCTATTCAAGCACCCCCAAATAAATGTACCAGAGGACATGGCCCAGCTCAGCGCCCCGCGTTCTGGGCTGTGTGTGCAGAGACATCCCCCGCCAGCCGGAGCCGATGTAGGCTGGTCCTCTGGGATGGGCAGTCCCCAAACCGGGTGGGCGCGCGCCGAGGAGTTCTGGGGACGTCAGCGAGAGTGCCAGGGTAGGGCAGCGCCAACCTAAATTAGGCAGTAAGAGGCAAGACAGGCAAAACTTAACAAGTCCCCCAAACTGCCACTTCTTCGCTCCAGCTAAGTCACTGGAGGAGGCCAATGCACATAAGAGCGGCGGTCGCCGCGCGACGCAGAACAGGGGATGGCAAACTCATTTGCAAAGAAGAGCATTCAAAGTCACTCACCTCCACCCATCTCTGAGCCTCCGCGAACGCTACAGAGCAGTCGGCCTCTGCATCCTCCATCCCTTCCATGGCTAGGGCAAAAGAGGGAGAGACTCAGTGGGTGCGTGGAGTGGCTGGGGTGCCCTCACGTGTCTCGGCCCAGCGTCTGGGAGGGGACGCGAACTGGCGTCCCAGCCTCTGCTCCGGCTGCGAAACTCCCGGTTCTTTGCCCCTTTGTTCGACTTTGTAGTTTTAAGTTTTCGAAATCTACAAGAACTTGTAGACGTTGCTGTCGCAAAACTCCTGAAAGAGACCCAAGTCCAAGGGGACCCGAGCAGGCGCAGGAGCGTAAGAAGCGGACCACAAGCAGCACCAGCCCAGTCCACAGTTTAGACTTCAAAAGTCGCAGCGAAGCCGCCGCCCTCCTCGCAGTGGCCCCGCCCCGCCCCACCCCAACGCCCACCCCTGGCCTGCCGGGTCGCCGCTTCCGTCCCCCCCACCCCCGCGGCTCCTGGGAGTTCCCGGCCGCGGCCGCCTCTGTGGTCAGACAGTCTGGGCTGGGAGATGCCACCTCCCGCCAAGGGGCCGTCGGGGGGTGGGGGAACCCTCGGCTCCGGAGCTCGGGGTTCGGACAGCTACTCCGCGCAGAAGGGATAAGCCCACGCGCCCGCATCCTTCCTGCCTCTGCCCGCCTTCCCTCTCCTGGGGCCCCTGAAAGCGGCGCCCTAGGCTCGCGGCCACAGAGCCCGCTGACATACCAGGAATAGCTGCACACAATTGCACCTTTCCCGGCCAAAAAACTCCCCCGAGGCCTCTGGGACTTGTAGCATCTGAGCCTGGCCTGGCCATCCTCACCTGCAGCTGGGGCGGGTGGCGCGCAGCTCCCGCCGAGCCCGCGGCCCCGCCCCCAAGCTCTCCGCCCCTCCAGGCCACCGGGGCCCTCCTGGCGGCAGGTGAGGGTAGTGGCCTTGGCACGGGCAGAGTATTCCCCCAACACCCCAAATACCGCTCAAGGCCTACTCTTCTCCGCCCTGCTTCCAGGTGGGTAAAGGTAGAAGGGACCTGCTGCTGGCCATCAAGGGTTCGAGCTAGCAGAAAGCTTTGCATTTCCCCCCTGTCCCGCCCACTCACCCGAATTCAGGCCGTTTGACCACGCTCACAGGTGGAGCGTCAATACTACCACATTTCTTGATGTGGGTACACTCAGGAGGATAGGCAGCCGAGTGACAGATTGTTTAGAATCCGCAGCGACCCTCGTAGGTGGTCAGGTCCAGAGAGTGAAAGGTGCACGGGTTGATTAACCAGGGTCCTTTCCTTGCCTGTGGCTAAATCAGATCCAAAAGCCACTAGCTCATCTGTGTAGACTCCCTGGGTTCCAGGCTCCAGAAGCCCTATCCAGGCCATCCAGTTGATGTCTTGACCTTTGGAGGAAGATAAAGATTGGTTCCTCTCTCCTAAAAAGGAAGCAACCCTTTATTCTTATTGGTTTTCTTCGTTGGGTGTTTACTTTTTGTGATGAAAAACGTCAAAGATAGAGCAGAGGGACTGGTATAATGAATACCTAAAACCTTGCATCTGTATTTAACAAAGGTTTGCGCTCTGCCTTATTTACTTCATCACCTTTTCTACAGAAAAGTGTTAAAGTTAGATATCATTTTTCACCCCTAAAAGTTTCAAAATGCATCTTGTCTTTAAAAAGACACTTCATTACCATAATACCAAATTTACACCTAGCTAAAGCTAACAATAATTGCGAAATCATACCCAATCCAGGCTTGAATTTTCCCAACTCATTCCAAAATAAGTTTTACAGCTGACTTACTCAGACCAGGATCCAATCAATGACCATATATTGCATTTGATTTGTTTTGAATGACTGTCTTGTTGAAGAAATTTGTACTATGGCTCCTTTGTGGTGTCTTCAATATTTTTCTCCTTCCTTTATATTTCCTGTCCTCTGGAAGTTAGATCTAAAGCTGGAATTGAACCCATTTACTCTTCTGAATAAAGACCATCTGTATAAGGCTAATGGTTTCTGTTTACTTGGTAGATTTGTTTTTGTTCAACTTTTTTTTTTTTTTGTACCATATGTAATCAGTGTGTCTGTTTATAAGACTTTATGAGCTTCAGGAATACAGTCATTCCTGCTGAAGTGGAGGCCACTGATTGAAACATCTCTGCATCCTACCTAGACTCTGATCAGGCCAAACCCAAGAAGATGGAATAATAAAAGAACCCAGGAATATATTTCTTCTTTTTTAGCTATCACTATTTGCTAAATATTTAGTGTATACCTTATGTGAAGTGCTAGAAGTTACAAATGATACAAAAATTTAAAAATTATGGACACAAGTCCTACACATTTCCATCCCAGTAGAAAGACATTCTACAAACTTCATGAAGCTTAATGTTACTATAGTTAATAAATACATATATTGGGACTATGGTTGTAGCTCAGTTGTAGAACATTTGCCTAGCATGTGTGAGGCACTGGGTTCAATCCTTAGCACCAAAAACCAAATAAATAAAATAAAAGTATAACACAATTTTTAAAAAGTAAATAAATACATATATTAGACTAATTGAAGCATTGTTATATGGCTCGACGTGTAGTCTCAGGGAAGCATCCCAACATGTTAAGTACATAGGCTTGAGAATTGTTATGTCTGAACATGTTACGTCACCAAGTCACCAGAAAAGTGGGGTGATAATAACTATTTCAAATAATTGTTGTGAGATTTAAATGTGATGGCGGATGTAAAGGTCCAGGGTATTGCTTATTGTGGAGGAGGCATTCAATAAAAGATCTTGATTTCCCTTTGGTCTCTTTCTCTAACAGTAGTATATCAAATTTTTCCTAACAAATAAATTTCATTTATTTGTTCAACTACTTAAGTGGAAAGGGCTATAGAGGTTTGTAAATTCTGTTTCAAAATCAATTCAGTCACTTCAATGTTGCAAGTTTGTAACTCAGAAGATTCAAATATAACACTTTGCCTCCTAAAATCAGTCATTAGAGTGTTTTATCCTTCTGGGAAGATTTATATAGATCTATAATGAAAGGCATGTGCCTATGGAGTTTGAAATAAAATTCACTATGATAAAACATCAAAAACCAATATTTTCCAAAATAATTTGAGGTACCTTTTCATTTTTAAAGACGTAAAACAATATAGTTGTCATCCAAATTTATTCATCAGAAGACTTCTGCCCAGCATTGGGGAATGTGGTCAGTGGACACCCACAATGGTCAGCCCCTTCAAAGTTGACCTTAGCATCAGAAGCAGCCTCCCTTAAGGATATGACCCTCCCAGAGCAACTATCCTCTGACAATGAGTGACCTGTGGTATAAAAGCCCAGCCATTCCACCCAGTGACTTGGGCCTTCTCAGTGGTCCTGCAATCTGTTGAAGCTTCTGTTCAGACTCTTCCTTGCCTGTCTCTGCTTCTTCACTCTGCCCTTCACATGGGAGCATCTCTAATTAACATGCATTTCAAACACTATTTGCTTTAGTTTCTGGAATATTCAAACTGTGATGAAATCAAGCATGATTTGTTAAAAATGAGAATCCTAAGCAATTAAAACCTCCAACAAGAGATAGTTGTGTAAACTATGGTACTTCCATTGAGTAAGATACTCTCAATCATTTTTTTTAAATGTAAAAGGATAATCAATGGCAGAGATTTAAAATACATTGGAGGACTGGGGATGCAGCTCAGTGGTACAGAACTTGCCTAACATGCACAAGACCCTAGGCTTGATCCCCCAACACTGCAATGAGTAAATTAATTTAATATATTGCAAAGAGTCACGCACAATGGCACACAGCTGTAGTCCCACATGTTTGCGAGGCTGGGGCAGGAAGGTCACCTGAGCCCACAAGTTCAAAGCCAACCTGGTTAACACAGTGAGATCCCTTCTCAAATTAATTAATTAAAATATATTACAAACTATTTAAGACATATATGAGGCACCTTCATTTTGGGATAGTATTTTTTAAATTTATAATTTTTGCCACATAAAACAAATTGGAAATTTTTAATGGTGGCTATTTCTGAATGGAGATTTTTTTACAAGTGTATACATATTTTCCAAGATTTTTTGCAAATGTGTGTATTAGTTTTATAAATAATAAAACTTATATGACACATAAAGATATCTCCAAATTTGACTTTGTATTTCATCTTACAAGTTTAAACTTCCTCCCCCTTCCCTGACATGGTAAATGGCATCATATCTAAAATTTTAGATTCATGCTGGACTTCATCTCTCACCCACATGTCCACCTCATTCCAAGTCCCATCAATTCTGTCTTAATTATTTCTCCAATTGATGTTATTTTCCATCACCTTTTCTACTTCCTTAGTTCAGGCCATCATTAGTTCTCAGGTAGATTTGAGAAATCATATGACCTTCCTCATATGTAAATCTTATCATTCCACCAACACTCCCTGCCCCACCAATTAACCCTTCCATATATGACTCACAGCTTATTCTTAAGACCTGGGATGGATGTCTGCACAGTAAGTGGTGGCCTTCATGATCTGCTTCTGCCCACATCTCTAACCACATCTTGACTGATACTTCTCTTTTTTCAGAAATGTGTTTCTCTCCCTCTCTTTGCCTGGCTTTCACCTGCCTATTCTTCCATGCTCAATCCAGAATTCTTCAAGAAAACCTTGATAGGGCTGGGTTTGCATCTCAGTGGTAGTGTGCTTGCCTAGCACGTGTGAGGCACTGGGGCTGATCCTCAGCACTGTAGGCAGGTGCCTTTCATTATAGATCTATATAAATCTTCCCAGAAGGATAAAACACTCTGATGACTGATTTTAGGAGGCAAAGTATTATATTTGGGTCTTCTGAGTTACAAACTTGCAACATTGAAGTAACTGAATTGATTTTGAAACAGAATTTACAACCTCAGCACCACATAAAAATAAATAAGTAAAATAAAAGTATTGTGTCCATTTACAACTAAAAAATGTTTAAAAACAACAACAACAAAATTGGCAGATATTCTGAGCTAGGTTAAGTATATCTTCTTTATGCAATTCTAGCCCATTTCCCAAGGTATTTATATTATCTGTTTTCCTCATTGAATCAAGCTCATGGCTTGGTTCCTGTCACTTATATGGTGTTCAGTAACTGTGTATTGATTGGAGTGGGAGGGAGAGAGAAAGAGAGAGGGAATGAATTAAACTCACTGTACAGAGTAAAGCATTGATGGTAGCAAAGTAGTAAACATCATTGACTATTGCAGCTAATACAACAATTTCTTTATAACTCAACTTTTCAACAGAAATACAATTGATTAATTTGGTGGGATAAATCTTTGTCATGTTGGGACTGTCCTGGCCTCTCCCAACTAGATGCTAATAGTGCCCCCATAGATGTGCAACCAAAACTTTCTCCAGATGTTGCCAAATGTTCCTTGGGGGGCAAAATCACCCCCTATTGAGGGCCATTATTCTACAAGGAGAGATTGGCTTTGTTAGAAAATGCCTTGGTTCAAAGGAAGTGTACTTTAGGCCCAAGTTTCTTGCAACAAATGAACTGGGTAGGGTGGAAAGAAATTAGGATAAATTGGGCCAAAAGGGTTACTCTGTGTTGTAAAGGAGGAAAGGAGGGTGCTGATTGATGCTTGGGACAAAGATTATAAAGCAGGATGGACCTGGAAGCTAGAGAGAAGTGAAAAAAAGAGACAGGTACAGTGTGAATTATTCTAACCAAAGAATTAAATTTTGCACTATGCTTGGTCATTGTTCAAAATAGTGTCTGTCCTTATGGATTCACAGATAAGGAACATCTGAATTACATGTA